TTGTAACTGCAGATCTTTGAAAAGTCATCTGTCACACAGTACAATAGATGGCTTTAATCTTCTGAAGTGAAACACTGTGGCAGGTGCACCTGCCCAATGAAAACCGGGTTTCTTGGCTGTTCAAGTGTAGCAACTATCGATTGCCTGTTCTCAGGCTTCACAGTAGTTGGGGCCTTCGGCCAATGGGAGCCGCTGTTGACCACTGATCAGAGTCAGCCTGGGTATAAATGGAGTCCCCTGGGGGACCCATTTTGAGCTAGTCCACCCTGGAGCAGTGTGTTGTGGTCGAGGACTCTCCCTTTGGGTTGGGACACTGCCCAAGGAAACTCCTTGGTGTGCCTTGGGTCAGGACGCTTCCCTGAGAATTTCCTCGAAGTTGAGAGCCCTCACTTGTCAGGTGAGTGATAGAGCGTTTTGGGTTGTCGTTAAACCCCAGGGAGTGGTGCTTTGTTCTGCATTTTGAGTTAAACCCCAGGAAGTTGCTCTGTTCTCCTCTCACGGACATTGAAACCTGTAATTGAATAGTTGTGGAGGGCTAGTTAATTGTGTTGACAATAAATTTTTAATTTTTGGTGATTGGTTGTTTATTTGAGAGCCAAACACTGTGGCTGCCATACCAGGATTGCAGTAACACTGGTAATATGAAAAGGCAAAAATCATATGCCAAATGGGTAATCACATGGAGCTGCTTGGTAAGAAATATCCACGGACTGTGAACCCTTTTCATCTCTAGCTATCTGCCTCCATCCCCTTCAAGAGTAAAGCCTGGCATCCTCTACTGATAATCAATACCTCTACTTATCTTTCTTGTGTTTTATCTTGTGTTGTGAGATTGACTGGAATATGTCAGGGCTCTGTGGGCACCAGTAGGCCTCTGTGGCCCTTCCCAGCCTCCCTGCTTCTTCCTCTGGTCCTTTCCCATGGGCCCAGGACCCCCATTCTATCCCAGTCCCTGTTGCAGCAATGATGTAGGAGAGTCAGTCTCCAGCTCTGCCTCTGCCCTGTCTCCTCAGTGGACTCCAGCCCTGCACTGTAGGTAGATGGACCCTTCAGACCTACCTTGTGGCCTGTCTCCTGTCTTGCCTCTGGCCCCATTTGCTCCTGTCTAGACTTTGTCAACGGACCCTGGACCTGGTTCATTGCTCGCTGTGTCTGGGTTGTCCCCTGCCACCAGCCAGCCTGTTGCTCTGCCCACAACGTTCAGACACTATTTGTGGAGCGCTGTCTGTGCTGGGGTCACTCTCACTGCGCTCTGGCAGAATGTTCCTATTTATAGCTTTATGACTTGAATCCTAAACAGTTACAATGAAAACACTTGATTCAAAGAGTTGCAGATCCTGAAATTATTTTCACTGACATCTTCTATTACCAGGAGTGTCTAACCTCAAGATCATCAGATAACTTTTATCAGATAACAAGATAATCAGATAAAAGTTGCAACCTTTTTCTCTTCCTCAGTGAAAAAACAGTATGTAAAATGTGGAGATAGAAAAAAAAAAAAAATTTACCTTTTAGCCTAATGGTTAAAATCCTCATTAGAGCGAGGATTCTAATGGTTTTGACAAAATCTGCATCTTTGCAGGAAATCTATGAAAAAGGGCCTCACTGGTGTGAGTGATCTAACCACAAGGCTACAAAAGCAGTCTTCACTTTGTTTCTCTTTAGAATCACATTTTGGGACTGATGTGCCCCTATTTTGGTAGAGTCTTGCATTAAGACTTGAGCCAGTTCCTTATATGGACAATACTTGGCACCTATCTCCCAGTTATACCATGCATTTTAAGTAATAAAGGATTTATAATAAATGCTGTTTTGCACACTAAGTGAACACTCAAGGTGGAGCAGTTTTAAGACCAGATTTAAAGGTTTTCTCTTGCCTAAAGACATTTGCATTCTTCCAGGTAAGTCTCTTGTTAGTTTGCACCTACAATGAGCATTCCAAACAGTACCTACAACTGTATACTTCAATAAATATTAAGTACCTACAACTGTGTACTTAATAAAAACATACTAGTTTTAGCATGCAGTATAAATTACCACCTCTGTTAACAGGTTGGTCATTATATGTATATGATATAAGAAGATCAAAACAGCTTACTGTATAGCTGTATCAAGTAATTTTTGAATGAGAAATTGAGGTTCTTAATAGCATTTTGTAATTTTGAGTTATTTTCTGTGCACTTGTAATGTGAACTATAATGGTCTGAGGACTCTGTATCAGTAAACTCACAGATAGGTAAGAAGACATACATTAAAAAAAAAAAAAAAACCAGAAAGAATGAAAGAGAGAAAAAGAGTGTAAGTTTTATAATGCATTTGGTTCAGAACAGCAGATGTGTTTATTTGCTATATGTTGATAAGCATGAGGTACTCACAATTCAAGGAACAGAGTAAAATACATCTGTGTCTGCTATTCATGCATATACAGCCATATAGGTGCAATCTTTTTTTTATCTTTTTTTTTTTTTTTTTTAATCCATAGAAAAAAATTAAAGATTTATGGAGAAAGGTGCTCCTTTTCTTAAAAAATCCCCTGTGAATTTATAAATAGTGCAATATGAATGTCTGCAGATAGGGAAGTGTGGAATAAAAATTACCAAACATAGACACTAAGCAACATCAGCTACCAAATCATCCACCTAAGATGCAATGGTAAGGACATCATTTCAAGCTACATTGAATACTGCATGGTATAATACAAGCCATTTTGAAAGATAATTAGATGCATAATTTCCTATACAGTCTGAATGAGAAGCCCAATCAACTAAATTTGTCATTCTACTGACACATTTTTGCTATCCTTAATGTCAATTTGCTGCAATTTTTTCCTCCCACTGTGTTGTTATTTTTGGTGAGGAAGAGTGCCACAAAGCCCTGAGGTATATTTTGCACAAATCAATATATCAGAATGACAGCTATGAAGCTCATTTACAAAACAGACTACACAAAGTTTGAAGAAACTGTAGTGGGCAGACCCATAAATTCATGTTTGTAAGACTGTCTCTCACTTTTCTCATTTGCCTTACATTTATTTTAGTTTAGAACTAAGGCAGAAATTTTAAGACTTACAGATGATTGAGACATTTATAATCACATGTTAGTGATGTCAGAAATTAAAAGTTCAAATAAACAGCACATTTTCATGATGTCCTTACGAAATATAACAACAAAACAGATTCTTCCATCTGACTTCCAATTCCTACGTCTTCAATATCTTTTCTTATCAGAATTTATTGTAAAATCTGGGATCAAATAGTGTAAAACCAGTGTAATTTCAATAAATCAACATTGGTTTAAACCAAATCAGTACAACTGCTTCTCTTCACTCACATGAATGTACACAACATACACACACACACACACACACACACACACACACACACACATTCATAGAAGTCTCCTCAAAATGTTATTTTCTTGTTTGTGGTGATAAATATGTATACTTTACACTAAGAATAGTTAATTAATTACAGTAGTCATTATATTTATTAGAGCTTTCAATAACCACAGGTTATAACTTCCCCATAAGTCAGCCTGCACATGTGGCCTGAATGTCATTTATTCTGCATCCTGTTTTCTTAAAAAGATGTTCAATGATTATTTTCTCACATCTTCTTTTTACAGGTACAACTACAAAATTATGTTATTGTCGAGTTTTACTAGGCCTAGTTGTTGGATATCTGACCTACCTGAGTGACACCATGAAATACACTGCTCAAAGCTGTCTCTCTCGCTGTAAGCGGGAATCAGACAGCCTGCAGCTATCAGGGCACCAGGCACCAAGCTATGAAAACAAGTCAGTAGGAAACAGTGAAGCAATTTCTCTTCAGATTTAAAGGTGTTGAACTGGGATGTGCATACCAGAATATGCAAGACAAGTACTGAAGTCATTCCCTCTTTTAAAGTGAAATATATATGATGTGCATGCATTATACAGTTCCGTAATGGAACACTTATGGGGCAAAGTAGAGATACAACATCATGTCTCCTCAACTGAAAATGTTTAAGCTTGACTGTTGCAGTAGCAAACCCTGTACAACAGGGTGTACTCTGAGATCCCTGTACCCATCTTCATTCTGGGAATGAGCAGCAAAAAATGCAGTATTTGGGAAAGAGAAATGGAAAGTACAAACTTGTGGCTGGCAGTTCACACAGGGTTTTGACTATACCCGTTCTAGCTCAGACCTGTTTCAAGCAGAGTACAGAAACATTGCTGGGAACGAGGGCTGAAGGCAAGTTCATACTCTCAGTGGGAATATGTCAGCGTTAGGCTGCTGAGGAGCACAAATTCTCGTGCATAAGTTTTATCACATCTGTCAAACCCGAAACCCTCACTGTGCAGTAGTCTGCTTACTGCAGAAAGGGTTTATACATCTCGCCCAAGTCATATGCTAGTCCAATAAATAAGCCTTGGCATTGTTCTCAATGGGAGAACAAGGGGAAAAAAAATGCACTATTACTCTATTTTTTATTAAACAACAATGTAAACTGATAGTTTTATTTGTTTGATATAGGTTTTCAGTCCTCATCCATCAAAACTATTTCTTTTCTGTGCATGTTCCCAGCTCTACTGTCAAATTAGTAAATGCCTATTGAAATTAAAGCAACTGAAATGCTAAGCAGGGACTTGGCTTAGAAATCTATGGCTTAGTCTTTCTGATAGGAACAAGAATATTTGGTGGAACATATATCTACTTAGTAGGACAATGAGAAGACTATTTGTACGAGCATATTTTTACCGATATAAAGACTTCACAGATGAAACACTGTTTTTATTAATTTATTTCTTGCTGTTAATTTCTGCATTAACTTGTAACCAATATCAAATATACAAACACAAAAACCCATGAAAGGAATACATTTTCACCACCCAGAGCTATGGGTTTATACAGTAAATACTGAGAAATATATTGCAGTGATTCACCCAACAAATCACTAGACATATCCTATTCTAAAACTGGCAGCAGTTGTTTCTTTATCCTTTTTGCCTTTGTTTATAGTCTTTGCTTCTACATGTGTCACATTCCTGTCAGAGACACTTTGTACCAGAGGGAAACTACTTCTACTTCATCTGACGCACTGTACTAGTTTTCTACTACACAACATGTTAAATTGTAATAATTCATCTAGTACTTCATTTTCAGTTTCTGTTACCTAACTATGTCTTAATTATACCCAGCAAATGGCCAGCTGTAGAGTATAGCTCCTTATCACCAGACACACAGAAGCAGAATATCTTTGTACTTACATTGTTCTCTTCTATCACCCCTGATAGGTCTGATTTGAAATGGTTCTCTACAGGGAGCCTAGAGAGATGCTAATATAATTATTTGCAATTTGAATGCAAAGAAAATTACTAATAGGTTCATGGACGCTGCTCACAAAATGACTGTACTACTTATTATAGGATTCAGCAGTTATGAATGCATCCTGACCCAGTTTGTTATACTGAGTTTTTACATAATGGCAGCTTCATTTAGGACATGCTGGTCCAGATTCTCAAGGCAGTATAAAGCAATGTATAGAACTTGCTACTAGGAAAAGACCTGGCATACTATAGTTAAATTATGTAGGCTTCAAGAAATCAGCTGGGTATCATATAACTGAATAAAGTATAGGCTGTTTTCTTGCTGCAGAATACCCAAATAAAAAACAATACAAGTAATTTTGAAGAAAGAATATATGCACATGTTAAAAAAAAACCCCAAAAACCGCAAGGGCATATCTATAATACATGTTGGTGCACAGTGAAGAAATGAAGAAATCCATGAGTTAGGTATTCATGTTAGGATCCAACAAGTCACTGAAGACAATGTGATCTCACGTATTTGCTCAGGAGTGCCACTATGTTCTGTTCTAGTGCTCTAAGGGAGCAGGCAGGCTGTGTCTGGCCCAGGCCAGCCCCCACCCAGCCACATGCATCAGCTACAGTCATCCCTGATTTGGATCTAGGGATAGTAACCATGAGATGAATCCAAGACTACCTGCTCTGGGTGTCTGTGTAATAGTAATATCTTATGGTGCCCAATGAACTAAAAATGGTAGATCATCACATAAAACTTTTGTTTTACTTAATTTCATGCATATCTTTGCCTCATTTTTTCTTTCCCTGTTTTGGGATTATTCCTTACAGAGAAGCTTTCTGGATTCAGTCATGCATGGACATAATGAAAATGTATTAAGACCACTGGGGGCTCTATATTGATTGAAACCACAGCCATGTAGAACTCTGACTGCTAGTAAAAAAATGTTGATTTTATTGTCTAATGCCAGCTGAGCAACTCATTATCTTATAATGACAAGTTTGTGCCCTCTCTTCACCAGACTGCTGGATATGGAAGATGAGAAAAAAATCATAATGACGTGCAAAGATACTTCTCCAGTGCTTGGATGTCAGTGAAGGAAGAGAAAACTGGGCAACTATTGTGACTATTACACCATTAATAAAGATTATGATGATAATATTAGAACAGCTTTAAAGAAAGCAAAACCTACCATTTTATTTTGTGTAAAATTACATGTGATAAGGACCTTGTAAGAATATATATGAGTCAACATTCATCTTGAGAAATAGACTTAAGAACAAGAAATTCGTGGGCTTTACTCAACACTTAGCTCATGCTTCCCAGACCCTCACAAGACTGAGATACTTGTGAGATTGGTAAAGAAAGAAGGTTTGGGGAACTTTTAAGTGGGGCATTCATTCACTTCAGAACATAAATATTGGAGTTCTATGTCTATTTTTACTAATTAGGTCTTCTATCTCTATGTTTATTAAAATAACTTTAGTGAAATAAAATAGATTACTAGCAAACTAATCCATAAGAATACTATTAGCAACTGAATATGGACAGGCATTACAGATATACAGCATTTCCTGTGAGGAATATTTTCCACTAAGCCATGTTCTTTTGTTCTTCTGTACAGATTTTTTTTCCCAGATTGCACAATCCCCTTGCATAATTTTGCTGGACTATCATTGACTACCTCAGGTCTACAGCCTTTGTTTGGCAGCTCTGTGTGTAGAAGTAAAACCCAACCATGTTGTGGAATGTAAGAGGAGTACAAGATCTTCCCTTCCCTTCCCTTCCCTTCCCTTCCCTTCCCTTCCCTTCCCTTCCCTTCCCTTCCCTTCCCTTCCCTTCCCTTCCCTTCCCTTCCCTTCCCTTCCCTTCCCTTCCCTTCCCTTCCCTTCCCTTCCCTTCCCTTCCCTTCCCTTCCCTTCCCTTCCCTTCCCTTCCCTTCCCTTCCCTTCCCTTCCCTTCCCTTCCCTTCCCTTCCCTTCCCTTCCCTTCCCTTCCCTTCCCTTCCCTTCCCTTCCCTTCCCTTCCCTTCCCTTCCCTTCCCTTCCCTTCCCTTCCCTTCCCTTCCCTTCCCTTCCCTTCCCTTCCCTTCCCTTCCCTTCCCTTCCCTTCCCTTCCCTTCCCTTCCCTTCCCTTCCCTTCCCTTCCCTTCCCTTCCCTTCCCTTCCCTTCCCTTCCCTTCCCTTCCCTTCCCTTCCCTTCCCTTCCCTTCCCTTCCCTTCCCTTCCCTTCCCTTCCCTTCCCTTCCCTTCCCTTCCCTTCCCTTCCCTTCCCTTCCCTTCCCTTCCCTTCCCTTCCCTTCCCTTCCCTTCCCTTCCCTTCCCTTCCCTTCCCTTCCCTTCCCTTCCCTTCCCTTCCCTTCCCTTCCCTTCCCTTCCCTTCCCTTCCCTTCCCTTCCCTTCCCTTCCCTTCCCTTCCCTTCCCTTCCCTTCCCTTCCCTTCCCTTCCCTTCCCTTCCCTTCCCTTCCCTTCCCTTCCCTTCCCTTCCCTTCCCTTCCCTTCCCTTCCCTTCCCTTCCCTTCCCTTCCCTTCCCTTCCCTTCCCTTCCCTTCCCTTCCCTTCCCTTCCCTTCCCTTCCCTTCCCTTCCCTTCCCTTCCCTTCCCTTCCCTTCCCTTCCCTTCCCTTCCCTTCCCTTCCCTTCCCTTCCCTTCCCTTCCCTTCCCTTCCCTTCCCTTCCCTTCCCTTCCCTTCCCTTCCCTTCCCTTCCCTTCCCTTCCCTTCCCTTCCCTTCCCTTCCCTTCCCTTCCCTTCCCTTCCCTTCCCTTCCCTTCCCTTCCCTTCCCTTCCCTTCCCTTCCCTTCCCTTCCCTTCCCTT